ATATATAAAGAGTATGTCCATGATTTAAAAAGGTAACTTTGCAGGCTCCAGTGTTAGAAAGAAACGTTTTGGTCAACAACCAAATTATTGAAAAAGTCACAAAACTCCTGACGCATTTCCTCATAATAATTGGACTTTTTTTCCATCAGCTTTCCTCACAGTGTAATTGTTTTTGAAAAAAAAAAAACAGCATAATGAAGATTTTGTTGAATTTTTACCTGCAACAACACAAACTCTCTGGAGACAGCGGTACATGCTGGTGTGTGTGTGTGTGTGGTGTGTTGTGTGTGTGTGTGTGTTGTGTGTGTGTGTGTGTGTGTGTGTGTGTGTGTGTGTGTGTGTGTGTGTGTGTGTGTATGTGTGTGTGTGTGTTGGTGTGTGTGTTCATGATCTAGTTTGTCAAAAGTAATGGATGCCTCTATTTAAGCTATTAGGAGTGAGGTCAGAGCTATTTTAAGTGCGCTAAGCAGCACCTTGCGTCATCACACGGCATAGTCTAGTTACATTTCGTCGACCAAAGATACGCATCTGGTCAAAGTCCCGGACTTCATAGCTGCGGTCTGGACAAGAAATAAAAGGAAGCCGTTCTAGCAAGTGGCCAAGGTTAAGGTTAAAATGTGCACCCCTGAGCAACAAAGAAACGGAGGGAGAAAAAGAGGATTGTGTGAATGGAAGCTGGGAGATGGAGTCGCTTATCAAAGCTGTGTGGATCTTTCAATGTACCGGCTGGGCGTGCAGAGCTCATCTTATGGCAGAGACAAACTAACCGCAAAGTGACCACGGGAACAAAGACTCACACCTTTAATCGATGCTTACTTTTATGTTCTCTTGCTTAATGAAATCAAATCAAAACCAAGCCAGCGGCCACTCAAGTCTCTCTTTCTCCTTGTCTCTCTTCTCGCTCTCTTCCTACCTCTTTAGTCTTTTCTCCCTCCCCCCTGTCCTCGCGCTGTGTTGCTTTGAAGTGTAAATCAGATTCTACTGATGTATAAAAGTAAAGTGCAGACTATACCCCAGAGGACCGTTCACAGCACTGAGGGCATGGAGGGTGGTAACCAGATGTAAGCGTATCTTTTTCACCAATGTAAAGGTCAATAATGCTGTGTGTGTGGGTGTGTGTGTGTGTGTGTGTGTGTGTGGTGTGGTGTGTGTGTGTGTGTGTGTGTGTGTGTGTGTGTGTGTGTGTGTGTGTGTGTGTGTGTGTGTGTGTAAACTATAAAGAAACTTACCAAGGGTACCAACTGTCAATTCAAATGTATGAGGCCACATAAAGATGGATGTAACTTTTTTTTTCTAGACAGACCTTCTGTTTGTCCTTTATCTCTGTGTCAACTGTAAGTATGCTGTAAGTATTAAGTGTCAAATACTTTTTGTGATGCGCTCCTACTTCCTCACACGACCCTTTCAAGTAAGTTTTAGCCCGAGTTTTGTGGTTATTCTTTTGTTCCCTCACAGTTTTTTTTTTCCCTTTGGGGATTTGAAATTCACAATTGACTGAAAAGAAGCAGATTCTATTATAACGGAGCTCTTATCTAGAAAGTGTGAAAAAAGTCCAGCCGTTATCTTGTCTTATCTTCTGCCTCCCTTCATTTACATACCCTCCCTTGTGATTTGGGAAGATTTAATAAAGGAATCAGTTTAATCAAGATAAACGATAATGACTTTCCCCTGGATTTACCTCATCAGTGTACATCAAGGAAAGGGCGAGTTTTAATAGAGCCTCACAGTCTCTCCGACAAGTCGGCTTGTGTTGTGGTTTCATGCCACCCAATCATGCAGTATACAGTATGCTCCTGTGCCGTCTCACTGTGGTCTTTGTTCCCTTCCAGTGTGAATGTTCAACATAAAACAACACACTAGAAATACCTACAATTAAAAGGTCCCCTATTATACTGTATTTCATCAATATGTTATAGGTTTCAGATATATATAAACATGTCTCTGAAGTTTGGCTCCAAATACCAAACCGATCATGCATTGTAGCATGACCCAAACTTGAACCACTCTACCATGCTGCACTGCGTTATATATCAAATGCACCCTATAGGACTCATCATTGCAAACTGTATAGCCTAACTGGATGGTCCTCACTTAGTATGCGTATGCGGCATTGGTTTTTATTAATGTATAAAGCCATTTTAGGTAAGCTTCCACTGTACATATGTGCCAGATTTTCTCCAGATTCTGACTCTTACAACCTCAGATCAAGTGCCTGGATACGGTTCCAGGTAGCTGCCGTGCGGACTGAGGCTGGAAAAAGGAGTCTTTTTTATTATGGTCCTTGGTCTTGGAATGACCTTCAATCAAGCCTCAAACTGATGGCACTTCCCTATAGCCTGTTTTAGCCGTGCAGTAATAAGTAGTGCACCTTTCTTACTGTCCCAAATGTGCACAATGTAGTGACTGCTTTCGTCTTTTTGTTTACCTAGTTGTGTTCTCTGTATTTTATATGTCTGTGTTATGTGTAATAATGTGTAACGTTGCTGCATCCTTGGCCAGGTCAGCATTGTAAATTAGATTGTATCTCAATGCTTTTTATCTGGTTAAATAAAGGTTAAATAAAAAAAGAAATCCCATAAACCCCTCTGTTTCAGCCCTGTTTCAAAAGTGCTGATTCTCTGTCTGTTACTTTAGATGAAAATAAGGAGCCACTCCCCACGCCCCTCTGAGAGATATTTGGTTAAAAAGAAGACAATGGTGCTCTAGGTCTAGGAGGANTTGTAACCATTAGCCAATCCCCAACCAGGGTAACCCCCCCCCCCCCACCTTATCACCTGAATCTCCTCCTAGACCTAGAGCACNTCGCTCACTTTTTGTCCTGATACATTTATTTACAAACCTGTCTGAAAATGAGCTGATCAGATTTTGGCCACTTTATGATGTCATAACGATTTTTTGGCTAAGCCAAAAAATCGTTATGACATCATAAAGTGGCCAAAATCTGATCAGCTCATTTTCAGACAGGTTTGTAAATAAATGTATCAGGACAAAAAGTGAGCGAATCTTTTTTCCTGAAACGTTCAGAATCTCTTTACACAGAGAGAGAGGACACATGTTTATGTATAAAAGACATGAACAAGTGGATTTTGCATAACAGGTGACCTTTAGGACAAGACATAATTGAAACAAAAAAACACATCTACAGCAAAAACTAATTTTCCATGTAGCTCTCGTTCAGATCTGAATAAACAAAATGCTGAGCTCTGCATCTGTGTTGCAACAAAACTGCCTGCTTTTAGAAAAATGTAACTCCCTCCACTTCTTCTGTGTAACTGTCTTTGTGAAATGTCCAAATGAAGTTTAATGGAATTGTATTATGCTGCTCTGTAAATCACTCGTTCTGAATTCTCCGTGTGCAGTCTGCTTCACAACACAAGAGACACACACTTTGAAAAACAACCCCTAACCACATCAGCTTTCCTGCTACAGTCTCCTGAATCATTTACAGTAACTTACAAACATGAACA